TTATGCAATTTTAAATGATTGTTTAAAATTTTTAAAACCAAGTTTCCAAGTAACTTTGGAGCATGATAAACAAATTGCAAACATCAATTAAAGAACATGATTGGAATAGGTGAAAAATAGTATTTCATTAGTATTGGAAATATTACAGTTATAGTACGAAGTTTCACTAATCCTATACAAAAGAAAGAGAAAGCAAAATCCTTAGGTCCAAATGAACCACATTCAAAGAAGATCCAACATAGGGCTGCAACATCTTCTTGAGATTGAATTTGAAGTGCTAGAGGAAAATAAATCTGCTTGCACTCTTCTCTCCTACTTTGTTGATAATCGGAAAAATAAATCACCTATATGAAGGACTACGAAAGTGGATCAAAGGTGTGGAGAATTGCAGCTTCCATACATCCAAGAGAATTTGAAATCCCAAAGACTAGATACCAAGGATTCATGCTTTCACAATTCTTCTAAATAAGGACTTTTGAAATTGTACTTCTGAGTATTCCTTCCAAAATCCATAAATTTAAAACTTATGATGTTTGCAAATAGAATCCATAGGTTCCTTGAAAAATTGGTCAAAGAATGTTCATGGATGCATGAATGCGTGATGCAACAATCACACACAAGATCACAAACATGGGGATTCATGGGTTTAACGTCACGAGAAGATTTTGAAAAAGGGAGAAGATTTTGAAAATTAAAGAAGAATAGGAGGAGATGAAGAGACTATCCTGTGTACACAAAGTAAAAGCTAAGGTAAGGAAAGGTCTAACCAAACAAGAAGCCAACACTTGACATTATGAATTCAATGTAGAATTCCCATCCTTTGGATTAAAATCCACAAGTACCAAATAGACCAAGAGCATACCAATCATCCATGTGAAAATAAATCACAAGAAAAGAAGTATCAAAGAAACCCCAAGGTTTTAAAACCCAAAGCAAGGTCTTCAATATTGAGTCATGTGCCATATAGATCACTTAAGGCCAAAAGAATGACACATATACACAGAAGATTTCCCAATACAAGTAAAATAACAATGAAATAATACAAGGTCCAAAGGTCTCAAGGTCTCAAAGAATCAGGGAAAGGTTTCCGATCCTAAGTCCAAAAGATCCACAACTCCAAAGTACCAAGGATAGTAACCAATAATCCAAGAAAGAGCCATAAGTCTTTTGATGTTTAAGTTGGTTATTAAGTGTCTTAAAAATAAAAAGAATAGCTCAAGCGAGCAAAGGTAAAATGATATAAAATAAATGCTCAAGGTGCAAAAGGAAAATAACATGAGATGTAAATGCTAAAGATAAAAGTGCATAAAAGTAAAGACATAAAATAAAATGTGTAAACTAAAGGCGTAAAGTAAAGTTAATTATTAATGGTTAGTAAGTCAATTGTTAATATTCACAAAGTATGATCCATGATGATTGAATGGTGATCTTAGACCAAGGATAATGAAAACTCATTAGAGGTTTGATAAAATCAAATCCTTCTAACAACAAGTTTCATAGATATTGGACTAAAGATGTCCAATCAACTATACTTGGGCTTACAAACATTAATTTTAGATCACAAATGATTATTTTCAGAATCAAAACAAATTTAGCGTTATGTTAAGCAATCATAAATGGACTTATGTAGAAGTCGCACCTATTTTGAGGCCGGTGAATAGCAATGTATGTACCGTACATGTTAGAGGCGAGGTAGAAACCAAGCTCCTAAAACATGTAGCACAAGTAAAAGCAAAAATAAAGAAAAAAAGGATGAAGAAGAAATGAATTCCATAATAAATTGTCAATGACGATTGAAGATTGGACTTAGGTCAAAGTTAATGAAGACTTGTTAGAGGATTGATAAAATCAAAGCCTCCTAACTACAAGCTTCAAAGGTTTTGAACCATGGTTCAATAATCAATCATCCTTGGACAATTTCAAGCCTAAAGCTTGAGCCACGAATGATCACTTAAAGTGAAAGAAGAAAGGGATGAGATGAAGAGGAAGGGGAATGAAGTAGAGATAAACAATGTTAAATTCCATATTTGAACCAAGAGATTAATCAAGCTATCATTAAAATCATCCATCCATTTTGGTGGAGTTTAACTCAACATCAAAGATCCAATGATGTTAATGAAGCTTATGATTAAAATTCACATGGTCCAAGATCAGCCAGAATATATACAAAAATAAAATTGTAATTAAAAATAAAATATAAAAAGAAAATGATTTAAAAAAATTTTAAATTGAAAATAAAATGGGAAATATCAAATCACAATCCAAACTTAAAATAAATAGAATCCAAAGGCATTGAAAAATCATAAATACCTCAAAGTATATTCACAATTTTTTTTTTCATATTTTTTAAAAGTCGGATTTTTTTTTTAAATTGCAAAATTAAGTGAAATAAAACAAAAAACACAAAAAATTTAAAATTTGAAAATAAAATACAAAAGAGGTCACCAAAAATTGCCAAGTTACAATTAGATCATTCCATAATTTTTTCATAATTTTAAAAGATATAAAAATATTTTTAAACAATTAAAACAAATCAAATAAAGAAATAAATCATAAAAAATATCAAATCACAAAATAAAATTAATAAAAAATAATAATCAAAAAGATAATATTCAAAAATATTTTTAGTGATTTTTTCATAATTTTTTAATGTCAAATGAATTTTTCATAATTTCCTGAAAGTTAATATAAATAATAATAATAATAATAATAATAATAATAATAATAATAATATTTATTATTATTATTATTATTATTATTATTATTATTATTATTATTATTATTATTATTATTATTATTATTATTATTATTATTATTATTATTATTATTATGTGGCTAGAATCAGGGTTATTATTAGCTAAATATTATATTATTATTATATATTATTTATATTATTATTATTATTATAATAGTGGTGATTGAATATTATATTATAATTAGATAAATATTATATTATTATTTATTATTTATATTATTATTTATATTATTATTATTATTATTATTAATATTAATGTAGGGTCAAATTAATAAAAAATATAATTAGGATTTAGCTAAGAGTTATTATCATGATGACACGTGGCTAGGATTGTCATTATAACAATCTTAGATTTATATTTATTAAGATTAAAATAAGATTATTATTATTATTATCATCATTATCATTATTATTATTATTATTATTATTATTATTATTATTATGCTATAATTAGGATCAAGTTATTGTTATTATTATTAGTTAAATATTATCTTATTATTAATAATAATAAATAGTGGTAATTAAATATTATATTATTATTAAATAAGTATTATATTATTATTTGTTATTTATATTATTATTAGTATTATTATTAATATTAATGTAGGGTCAAATTAGTAAAAAAACTTAATTAGGATACAACTTTGAATTTATATATGTTAAGATAACAAAATTTTAAAACATTAATTTCATTTTATATTTTCAATGAGAAATGATTTTTTTATATAATCATTTTAATTTCATAGGACACATTTTGGTTTTTTAACAAAACCTTAAAGGTTTTGCATTTTAATTTTATAACAAAATCTTAAAGTATTTGTCATACCATAGAATAAAGCTAAGATGAGATTTTAGGAAATTTCAATAAATGGCACTTTCTCTACGCTTCTTCTATTTTTATCTATAATAGTATAAAAAAAATTGTATCTACCCAAAACCCTATTCTATCTTTTTGTTCCAAAATCACAACACCTGGCTTCCTGATATCATAGCTACTATGTTTTTCATACATCCTCCACTTCTCAATAGCATCCGAAGTATGACGGTTACAATCTTCAATTCTTTTCCAATTCAATTTTCTACTACCAGCGGTTAAAACAAACAATCATTGTGCCAAATACGTTTCAATCCTTCATCCTTTTCTCCCTCTCCTTCTTCCTTCTCTATCTTCTTCTTCCTTATTCCTCTTCTTCTTCCTTGTCTCTCTCTTTCTTCATTGTTATTATTGAGTATCAGACAGACTCAATTTTGATTTTGATTTAGTGTTTGTTGTTTCAGGTTTGGTGGTATTGACTCACATAGAAGGGGGAAGATTCGCCGGCGGTGCGGTTGCTGAACGAGTTGTTGTTGAAAAACATGTTATACGACCGATCTGCTGCCTGCAAAGTGTTCGCTAAAAGATCCAAACCAATCACTTTCTTAGTTTTTCGGTTTCAGATTTGTGGTTGTTGATGTTTTATTGTTACGGTGTCTGAGAATATCGCTGGAAAACACATCGATATGGTTTTCACATTCGACAAGGTTCTTCATTTCTAAACCTAAACCCTTTCATTTCTGTCAAAATTAGCTTATTCTTTTATATTTCATGTTTCTGAGTATTTTTTAGGTTCGTGTTACCGATACATTCTTATGGCGGCATGTGTTGTGAGTTATATATGTTAATTAATTTTCATTGACCATTTGCGACAACTGTTAATTAATATTTGTGCACTCACGTAAGAAATACTTCACATTTCAGTTTGATTCATTATGCTGAAAAATTATCATTATCTTATCATCTACCAATGTCTTGTATTTTCAGGATACCGATTACAAATGGAAAACTTGACATGGGAACTTGGCAGGTAACCAGATTCACACTGAAAAAATTCTTTAAAACCCGGATTTATTATTCAATTTGAGTATGTTGACCATGTTGCCAAAACAAAGTCTTGGATATATCCTTCAACAAAGTACAACGCCCAACAATAATTATTGTAGTGGCACGCAGAAAATGCAAAAGATAACGGTAAGATTTTAGCATGCCTCAGAGCGTTGTGCATATGGGATTATACAAGCCATAGGTCATTTTAAATTGGGTCCAGATCTGTCACCGAGATGTTTCAGACATTGCACAAGAACATAATGTTGAAAATGCAATTCCGGGTTAGGAAATAGTGAACTTTTGGTTGTTAAGTGAAAAGTGGAGGCGTGTAGAAATTGAGAGTTCGGAGCTGATTATTGCTGGTCTAAAGACATCCAATGTATGATTGATATCCCTTACTTTTACAGATTACCTATTGTGTTCTATATGCATCGACAAACTGCAGGGTATTTAAAATGTAGTCCAAAAGACCTTTTTACTGAATTTCGATTTTTCTGCATTGTTTCTATTTTCAAGTTTCATAGACACACAATTTATGCGCTTACAAATAGGAAATTGAAAAGAAAAATATGATATTCGTTATACTTTTATCCATTTATCTTGGAGCACTAAATTTGTGCAATTTTTACATGCATTAATTAAGGCTTTATGTACATTGTTTACTTTGCTTTGGCAAGTTTGAAATGTTAACTAGAGTTGTAAATCCATGGAAACAGAGTGGTAAAATTTTCCATAAATTTTTAGAATTTTTTGTGGAATGGTTAAATTATGTACATACTATTATAATTATTGGGTTATAGGGTTTTACCCAGGTGTGTCGCAGATGCAGAGAAGGTTCCATTCGTCTCTGCCAGCTCTCAACGGTGGTGCTACACTGACGACACTCAAACAACGAGAGTGAATAATCCATTTTGGTGCCATTGATGTATAGTACAAGCTCTAAAATGGCCAGAATAAAATATTAAGCAATATTATAACTTTCCACTGTCTATTCACAATTTGACATTGAGTTTATGGTAACGGCTAAAGTAACATGATGCACTTAATTGCAACTTGGGTTTTACTTCACTGATTAGAGAAGAAATATAAAAAATTAAGTTGTTTTTTTTCATGATGAAATATATAGCATAAATATAACTTATTTGTCATCTTTTCATATTTTGATATTTTAGTTAATCTTATTTCTAACTAAAGTAAGTGCGGCTGTTCAATTGGTCTTTTACAGTTTCGTACCTTCCTGTGCGAACTGGTTTGTAATGCTTCCGTCACTAGCAAAATGTTTCAAATTCTGATCTTGTAAAGAAATTATGGACAAAAAGGGTTATTGAGTTTGGTGAGTTTGTTAGATTTCTTGGTGTTTTTCACCCAAACGTAGCTTTAAAAGACAAAATTGCATGTAATATAAAATTCATTTCATATTAAGGTATTAGAGTTTCTTATATTAAACAAGAATTATAATATGTTTGAGTTATTTATGTTGACTGCATTGAGTTTTTTAGAGTCACTCTTACCATATACCTTATTGGTTATTGAAGTGAGAATAATAATTTTTGCATTTGCTTTTAGAGTACCTCCAACAGGTGGATTTTTCTTGGTTTTTCTACCTGGCGTAGAGAGTATAAATTTTGTTGTCATTGGAGACATGTGACATGTTCAACCGTTCCTATACAATGCAACAGTAGTTTCTATTAAAATATTAATATGATTTAAATTTTGATTGTAACGTCTCTTTCTATTTATTTTTCTTTTTTTTTTTTAACATTTTAGTTAGCTATAAATACACCCTATTTGAAAAATTTTACACACAAATTTTCTTTCACACTTTTATTTTCTCTTAAGTTTTCAATTTTTCTCTCAAAATTTCATCACTTTACTCTAAATTTTGAAAATTTTCTCTTACAATTTATTCTCATTAGCCTTCATTTGACAATATATTTTATCCAAATTTTTATCTTTTTACTTCAAAATTAATATTGTTTAGGCCAAATGGATCCTAATCAATTTAATTATCAACAATCTATGTTCAATTTCATGCAAAATTTTCAAAATCCTAATCCTCAATATTCTCAATTCCCATCGATGCCAACAAACTCCGCCGCTTTTTTTCCGTCATCAACCAGAAACACTCCGCCGTATTTTTTCCGTCATCAACCAGAAACACTCCGCCGCATTTTTTCCGTCCCCAAACTCCACCATATGGTCAACCATCTATGGAATTTTTTCGTCATGAACCGGAAACACCGATTGTGTCTATGTCCGAAAGTCAAGTTCCACCATTTTCAACTCAAGTCGGTATTGAAAAAGAAGAAAGTCGCCCTGTTAAAAAAAAAGCTCGAGAGGTATTTTCAAGGGATGAAGATATACTTCTTATCCAATCATGGCTCAATGTTTCAAAGGATTCAATTGTAGGAGTTGATCAAAAAGCTGAGAGTTTTTGGCTAAGAATCACTACCAATTATAACGAGTATCGTGGACAATCGCGGGAAAAGCTACGTGGGCAATTAAAATCTCGATGGCATCGAATAAAAGGTTTGGTTCAAAAATTTGTTGGGTGTTACAAACAAGCTGTTAATGGAAAGGAAAGTGGGACTTCGGAGAAAGATAGCTTGGCTGCTGCATATGCATTTTTTTGCTCAAGATGAAGGTACACCATTCAATCTTGAGTACGCATGGCGATTGTTAAAGGATGAACCTAAATGGATGGGAGCATCGACCGAAAATTCTTCAAAAAGAACAAAGAATTCTGCTAGTGGGGCACACTCATCATCGTCTAACCTCGCGACACCTTCAAGTTATGAGTTTAACTCATCATCACCAATGGAGCGTCCAATGGGACAACAAGCAGCAAAAAGAAAGAGTAAGGCAAAGGAAAATGCATCTAAATCACCTTCTAATGTTGTGCAAGAAACATGGAATAAAAGAGTAGCGGCAATGGAAAGACTAGCTCAATGTAAAGAGGACGAGATGGAGTATAAGGCAATGCAATTACTCTCGAAAGACACTTCTATGATGAATGATAGTCAACGAGATATTCATGAAAAATATTGTAATAAGTTGGAAAAAAATACGAATTTTAGTTATGATGAAAAGATGTAGTACTTATTATGTATCAACACCTATGTAAAATAGTCATTAGTACCAATTTAATTTATAATAAATATTATGTTGTTATTCAAACTAGTCGTTATTCAAACTAGTCGTTATTCAAACTAGCCGTTATTCATATATCACTATATAAATGACCACTCTTCTCATTATTTTCTCATTCTTCTCTCAATCTTCTTTCATTCTTCTCTCTTTTTTCTCTCATTCTTCTTTCATTCTTCACTCACTTTAATGGATTCAGACAGTTCAGATGATCTCTTTTGGGACTTGATTGAAGAAGAATTTATGGACAACACTGATGAAGAACTACTAAAGTCAATGCTCGAGAAGGAACATCAATCTGGAAGTTCCTCTAGGCCAAAGAGAAGAACAGTGATAGATCGAAATCGTGAAGAAGGGCACAATCGTTTATTCAATGACTACTTCTTGGAAAATCTAGTATACATGGATGTTCAATTTCGAAGAAGGTTTAGAATGCATAGGCATGTGTTTCTTCGAATTGTAGCCGCCCTTGAAAATCATGATGAATATTTCCGAATAAGGGTCGATGCAACTGGTAAAATGGGTATTTACCATTGCAGAAATGCACATCTGCTATTCGTATGTTGGCATATAGGTCTCCTGCTGACAGTGTGGACGAATATGTTCGAGTCGGTGAAAGCACTTCAGTTGAGTGCTTAGAAAGATTCATTCGGGGCGTGAATGTTGTATTTGGGGCAGAGTATTTGAGAAAGCCTAACAACACAGATGTTGCACATCTCTTATAAATGGGAGAGTCACGTGGCTCTCCAGGTATGTTGGGTTCCATTTATTGTATGCACTGGGAATGGAAAAATTGTCATGTTGCATGGAAAGGACAATTTTGCCGAGGCAATCATGGTAAGCCCACAATCATGCTTGAAGCAGTGGCATCACAAGACTTATGGATTTGGCATGCATTTTTTGGTATTGCAGGTTCAAACAATGACATTAATGTGCTAAATCAATCCAATGTGTTTAACGATATTTTGGAAGGACATGCTCCCACTATGAACTATACAATCAATGGAACATCATATAATATGGGATATTATTTAGCGGATGGTATATATCCTGAGTGGGCTACATTTGTCAAGACTATTTCAATGCCGCATGGAGAAAAGAGAAAACTATTTGCTCAACATCAAGAATCAGCTAGAAAGGATGTGGAGTGGGCATTTGGAGTGCTCCAATCTCGATTTGCAATTATACGTGGCCCAGCACGTGCCTGACATATGGAAACCCTCAAGCATACCATATATGCTTGTATCATATTGCACAACATGATCGTTGAAGACGAACGCCACACATATGAAGGTGATTTTGATTACTCTTATGATAATGTAGATGACACCTACTTAACAACTGAAACATTTAACGGTCTTCATCCGAATTTTGCAACAAGACTACAAAGAAGAGCAAATCTTCGTGAAAAACAAGTTCATCGCCAACTTCAAGGAGATCTAATCGAGCATATTTGGGAACGTTTTGGATATGAGAATGATGAAAATTAAATTTGAGTAATTCTGTTATGTTATTTATTTTTAATGTTTTTAATTATATGTCATGTATTTGAAATTAATTTTAATTATCATTTTAAATTTTATGTTTAATTTTAATTTGTTTTATTTTATATTAATTTAAATTTAAATAATTATTTTAAATCAAATAAAATTTAATATGAATAAAATATTAATATATAAAGTAAAGATATAAGACCTAATTTGAGTTCTTTAGAGTTGCACCATTAATTGAATGAGTTGCTTTAAAATGATGTAGTTTAATGAGTCCCACAAAAAACCAAAAATTGAGTTGCACCATTGAAGGTACTTTTAGGTTGTATGATTTGAGACTATGAGGGTTCAAAGAAAAAGAGGAGTTAAAGGAGATGTTATTGGCATTTCAGATGAATCATATCTATTTTTCTTTCAGATGACATGATAGTTGGTCAGAAGTCATATAAACTAAGTTGTCTTTATGTGCTAATTGTCACTGTCACCTTCACGGCACGGGAACTGAATTAGATCGATGTAGCTGCTGGCTGAGAATTTACAAAATATTGAAATTGGATGTCACCTTCACCGGCACAGGAACCAAATTCATTCGGCGCTGCTGCTGGCTGAGAATTTACAGAATATTGAAACTTGATGTATATTAGATGAGATTAGATATTAAAGATTGTTTTGCATGTATAGGCATTTTTGCTTATATTTTCTTTGATGCAGTGGCATTATGCCATCATTACAACAATCATGGATACTCTTGGGAAGAGCTTCCCTACTCTATCCTTTCACCTTTACTAATATATTATTAATTAAGAGAACATGAAATGATTTTCCTTATTTCTCTAAATGGAAGTTTAAAAGTTTCAGAGTGTGACAAAAAGTTGATACACTTCATATCTGTTTATTTGTTTAATATCTATATTTGACACATAAAAAGTTTTTAGTTTTAAAAGGGTAGTTGAATAATTGTTGAACCTATACATACGAGATAATTACGTCCTTTATAATATCATAATCATTAAGTTAATATTATTGTTTATGTAAATTATACAATGGATCTATTACAACATACAAAAGCACTAAATTCAAAAGTTGTTTTTATAAATACTGAGATTTAGTATATGTTGTTTCTTTCTCTTAACATCATTAGAAATCAATATCAGTAAGCTAAATGTTAATGTAATAGAACCCTTCATCAGAAAATTTATACTATCTCTGTCCTTAAATATAAGACTCTATTGAGTAATAATTTTATAAATTTATCTTTAGAAGAGAGAAATAGTTAATGTGTATGTAACTGTATTTATTACTGATTGCAAAGAAACATGTAATATAATTAGGGATATATTTGAAAAAAATAATTAATACACTTTGAAAGTTGAAAAGAGTATTATAAAAAGGGACAAAAAAAATAGAATTGAATCTTATAATTAGGAACTGAGGGAGTGTCTGTTAGCATTGTGAATGGTTTCATTTGGTATAACTAAACATATGTTCATGATACAGGGATTGGCAACCACTTCTATTGATTCTTTTCTTTCAGGCGACAATTATCCTTCTTGGGTTAGCCTATACATGCGAAGGATCTTCCGTAATTTCCCAAGTGCCTGAGGATAGTGATTGTTGAACTTCATGTGTTCTTTATTCATCAACAATATATTTATACAACCTCGTTGGAATCATCCGTGAGAAGGTCAGACGAAGTTCAAGTTGCAGTCGAACATACAACGATCGAGTTAATAGGACAACTTAGGTCTGACTTGTTTTCAGAAGTTTTCACTATTCTCACTGACCTCAAATGCAACGTGGTAGCACCTTTGATTTTTATGTCTCTAATGCTCTGGCGGACATGTATTCGAAGTGCGGAAGTTTAAGTCTTACTTTAAATTTCTTTTCCGAAATGAGACTCTCTGGCATGGTACCCGATATTGTTTTGTTCATTGGTGTTATATCAGCTTGTGCGAATCTTGCTTATATAAAGCAAGGTAAGGAGTGTTGAAAATATTAAACTTAATTTGGGTCTAAATTTATTAATTGGTTTTTGGGCTTAAGTAGTTTTCTAGAGAATTCTTGTAATATTTGGAATCTCTAGATATTTCTTATAATTGTAATATTTTCTAGAATAGTTTTGGATCTCTAGAGTTGAGAACTCTCTAGAATTAGTGTGTCTAGAGTTCTCTTTAGAGTACTATAAATAGAGACGTAATCCCACACATTTGTATCAAGCAAAAATACAAAGTTCTTCTCCTCCATAAAGAATTATCTTACTTATCAAATTTATATTCAAACCTTCAATATTTCCACACACTTCTCCTTAATATAAAAGGTCTTATTTCCAACAAAGTGGTATCAGAGCTTCAAGATCCACAAAATAGCGAATGGTGGTTTCCCTTTCCAAATGTCGATGCTCACAAAGAACAACTATGATAATTAGAGTATCAAGATGAAGGCGCTACTAGGAGCTCAAGATGTGTGGGATATTGTTGAGAAAGGCTTCAAGGATCAAGATGAATCCTCGCTAAGCCAAGGTGTAAGAGAGACATTGAAGGAGTCAAGAAAGAGAGACAAGAAAGCTCTCTTTCTCATTTATCAATCGGTGGATGAAGATACATTTGAGAAGATATTCAACGCAACAACGGCCAAAGAAGCATGAGACAAGATTCAAACTTGCAACAAAGAAGGTGAGCAGGTAAAAAAGATTCGTCTTCAAACTCTTAGAGATGACTTTGAACGTTTATTTATGGAGGAGTCTGAGTCAATTTCAGATTATTTTTCTCGAGTATTGGTTGTAGTCAATCAACTTAAGAGAAATGGTGAAGATGTTGATGATGTGAAAGTCATGGAGAAAATACTTCGCACTTTAAATCCAAGTTTTGACTTCATTGTTACCAACATTGAAGAAAATAAGGATCTAAAGACCATGACTATTGAGCAACTCATGGATTCCTTACAAGCATACGAAGAAAAACAACAGAGAAAAATTAAACAAAAGGAGGCTATGGAGAAATTACTACAACTCAACATAAAGGAAGCAAACTATGCGAGTTACAAGAGCCAAAGAGGACGAGGTCATGGTCAATATCGTGGACGTGGACGAGGACATGGAGGAGAAGGAAGAGGCGGTTGCAATAACTACTCCAACAACTTCAACAATGGAGAAAGAAGTTGGAATCCACAAGTAACAAGAGGTCGTGGAAGAGGAACCTTATGATCGAGGAGCAATAAATCACAAGTCAAATGTTTCAATTGCAACAAGATTGGTCATTACGCAGCCGAGTGTAGATTCTCGAAGAAGGTGGAAGAGAAAGCTAATTTTGTAAAAGAAAAAGGTAGAGAAGAAGAAACTTTGCTACTCGCGTGTCAAAACAAAGTTGAAGAGAAAAGAAATAAGTAGTACTTGGACACTGGCGCAAGTAACCACACGTGTGGCGATCAAAGCATGTTCGTAGAGATCAATGAAGCGGCAAT